TGATACTAGTCCAGTAGCAGAAAGATACCACACTCCAATTGGTAAATTGATGATACTTTAATCAAGAGACTATTGGAAAAGGTGTTTGGGTAGCCTGGCACACACACTATAATTCCAGCGCTCAGGAGGCTGAGACAGGAGGATCAAAGACAGCCTCAGCAATTTAGTGAGGCCCTAAGCAGCTTACCAAGACCTTGTCTGAATTAAAAATATAAAAAGGATTGGGGATGTGGTTCAGTGAGCACCCCTAGGTTCAATCCCTGGTATCAAAAACAAAACAAAATAAACAAACAAACAAAAAGATGTTTGGGCAGGGAATCTACAAAGTTAACCACAGCAGGGAGCCCTTTCTACCAGAAACTCTCAGCGTCAAGGGATATGTTTAAGGGGCACAGAGCTTCAGTTTGGGAAGACAAAAAAACTCTGGTAAAGGACAGTGGTGACAATGTAAATGCACTTAAGGCCACAAACTGTACACTTAAAAATGCTTAAAATGGTAAATCATGTGTTAGGTATACAGTGTTTTACTGTAACTTTTAAAAAGTCAAGAGGCAGAGATTGGGAGGAAGCTGGAACCCCTCGCTGCAGCGCCTCCTGCTCTGTGAGCTCTGTCCAGCTCTAGGGACAAATGGCCTGGATGAGGTGAGAGCAGAGCTCCACTCCCCAGGCTGCTGGGAGGTGAGCTGGGAGGTTGCAGCAGGGGCTGCACAGTAGTGTTGCTGCTGCAGCTTCCACTAACTGCTGCCTTCTTCCTTTATAAGTTGCCTTTCTCTCTGACAAGTCATGTTCCTCCCTCCTCAAAACATTGAGATTACAAGTCTCTGAAACCTTCCCTAGCCAATTCCACCAGTCTCTAACCTCCACCTCCCAACACACCCACATCTCCCACAGTGCCCCTGGTCTTGTCCCAGGTCCAGTCCCTGCCTCTGCTAACTACCCTGTGTGTCCACCCCATCTTTTCTACAGTATGGCAGCTCAAAGGCAGATGCCATGTCTCTCTTTCTTTGGGTTTCTCTGACAGTG